GTTGTTGATTTTGCTGAAACATGAAATATCACTAGCACATGTACTGCCGTTCTCATGCATCTCATTTGAGCATTTAAGGTGGAAAACACCTAGCCCCCAATGTCAAAATAAATTACCTGGTAAGGCCAGAATTTTTATTCCTTGTTTCTCGAGTTTTTATAAGACAATTTTTTTGAGGGCGGCGGAAAAAAAATAAAATTCTTTTTTTTCCATTAAATTTGTGTGATTCTCAAAGAATTGTAAGTGAGATTATTGATCGGAGAGAAGAAATGAAATAAAATTTTATTCCATGTATAACCGTGTTTCTCATCTGCGCGAGACTTCGGTACTTTGATCATGATACTCACACAAAAATGCAACTTGGATTTGTTATGCAGCAGGCAGTAAAAAAAAGAAGATAAAAATAATATTTTTTTAGCAATTTGTTGCGGGCGGGCGCGAGAAATTACGCTGAAATAAAATTTTATTTTCATTTCATTTTCGGCTCCTGTTCGGCGGGTTCGCGAAACAAGGGATAATAAAAGTCTGGCCTAATCTACAGTATTCTTGTAAATTGAATTATTTTTTTCTCTAGATTAATAAATATCAGAATAATATATCTGGCAGTTTTTTTCTTACAGTTTTCCTTTCTCAATTATCAATGATGCATAACAGATTCCTAGAAAATAAATAAATGCTGTAGATAATCAAAATGTCTGAATCATAATTGTTAGTTTTGTCTAAAAAGTAGAAAGTAATTTAATAAATATCTCTATGAACATAATCTATAATTCATAAAGTAATATCTCTATAAACATAATCTATAATTCATAAAGTAATATCTCTATGAACATAATCTATAATTCATAAGTAATATCTCTATGAACATAATCTATAATTCATAAAGTAATATCTCTATGAACATAATCTATAATTCATAAGTAATATCTCTATGAACATAATCTATAATTCATAAAGTAATATCTCTATGAACATAATCTATAATTCATAAAGTAATATCTCTATAAACATAATCTATAATTCATAAAGTAATATCTCTATAAACATAATCTATAATTCATAAAGTAATATCTCTATGAACATAATCTATAATTCATAAAGTAATATCTCTATGAACATAATCTATAATTCATAAAGTAATATCTCTATGAACATAATCTATAATTCATAAAGTAATATCTCTATGAACATAATCTATAATTCATAAAGTAATATCTCTATAAACATAATCTATAATTCATAAAGTAATATCTCTATAAACATAATCTATAATTCATAAAGTAATATCTCTATAAACATAATCTATAATTCATAAAGTAATATCTCTATGAACATAATCTATAATTCATAAAGTAATATCTCTATGAACATAATCTATAATTCATAAAGTAATATCTCTATAAACATAATCTATAATTCATAAAGTAATACTATATTCACTTACAGTTACAAGTTAAAAAATAATTCAACATGTCTTTTAATTTTATCATAACCACTTCACTTTTAAGGGTGGTTGGCGTTGTGCCTCGCGTGTGCGACATTTCTGTAGATAAACATTGGTTTTCCCGCAATCCAATCCGCTCTTGTAATGAAAATCAAGAGTACATGTTTTTATCTGGGTGCAACATGCACTAATTACCGCCGGTGGCTCCTTCGATACCTTCCAATCACCAAAGAAATTACCTACTTAAAGCTTGGTAACATCTCAGTGTCACACGCAACGTAATATTACCGTAATTGGTATAGTACAGGTGTGATGGTTCAAATACCAAAATGGCAACAGTAACAAGAAAGACTACCCTGGCGGCGATGATAAAATACGAACATGGAGCCAACAGATGAGGTTTCAACTGGTACTGGTATTATTATACTCTGTAAACATCAAGTACAATAACGCGGTAAAACTCCACTACTCCAATAACTAGATACTTAAACTCCAATACAATTCAACGAGATCTCCGATCTGAACTCAGTGCTGAACAACTCCCCTATATATACCCCCACTGTCTATAAATAGACCATTACATCAGCATACATAATGAGCCTGGAACTTACTACAAATTTCTAGAATGTTCCATTACCTTCTATTGCCTCCTACAGTGTTCTATTACCTATTCAACCATTTTCAAAAAATATAGAATATTCCACCGAGACACAATACGGTTCTAGAACATTCTCAGTGACACGGAAGTGGTAAATAAGTCGTATGCGACACTCAGTTTGTACTCTTTGGTTAAAATTACCATCTTTGTTTATATGAGTCCAATATCTCATACATGTGTGACACAACGACCACTGCCCTTTAGGTAGAAGCCTACTCATGAAGAATTTATTCATTTTTCAATAAATTGTACTTTTTGAGAAATATGTCACAGTAAACTCAAATAAGAATGCTATATTATGGGTACAATGAGACAATATCTTCATGAAATAATACACAATAAACCAATGAACATTGCCATGCGATTTATGGTTTCTACCCTAAGTCTTGTCACTTAAAATGCCTTTGACCAACAAAGTAATTTTTTATTACTTTGCACAAAATATTCTCTCGAAATATTTCTATAATGTTTTCAAAAATTTGAATCAAAGCCACTGTCCAATTGGTACATTTGGTCTCAACCTAAAAAAAGAAATTACAGAAAAAAACATACAAATGTTGGTGGGAAAGGTATGGCATTAAAAGAATATTAAAACACTAAGAACAAACAGTTACAGTATTTGGTAGAAACTATTATTGCCATTTAGTGGAAAATAACAAATTGTTGTAAGCCACCAATATCTCACAGTATATTCTACATGTATACAGTAAGTACTGGGGTATTATCTCTACATTCATTCGTTACTTCATTATTTATTCACCGGGTTTTAATTTCGTTATTTTCACTGATGAGTAAAATTTGCTAAATTAAATCTACATGAACATGTAAAATAACAATAAATTTCATTGTTTCCTTCACAAATTTGTGAAATTAAAACACAGTGAATATGCTTAAAACATCAAAATAGTGAAATTAAATGTCAGTGAAAATATTAAATGGTTTTACAGTGTATAAGTATTGACATATTTAAAGATTTAATGTTTACAAAAACTTTTATTAGTTAAAAATACAGCTACTTGCATTATATTTTGGTCAATATTTTATATTGCAATAAAAATATGGAATTTTAAAAATACCCTTGTTTCCCCTCTCTGAAAAATATTAAAAATGAAGAGCTATAAAACTTAAACATCAACATTTGAACAATGTGAAAGGCACTAAGATGTGTTTATATTTAAAAAAGAAATATTTTGTTTTATACTGGTAGCTTATCATTCACATCTATAAAAAAAACTAACCTTTTCAACACCTTTTCCTGATTTACATCACAAATTCTCAAAATAGTCCTGTTTATAGTCTGCAATTTCCTTCAAAGATTGGAACAAAATAGCTCAATGTTTTGAATAAAAACTGAAAATTGACTCAAATTTGTTTCTGTTGGCTCCAAAATTAGTGTTCATGTCCAATAATATTGAGCGAAAAAGTGCAGAAAAATTTGGGCGAGTAAGTCTTGTGGTGAAAAGGTTTAGGCTAAAAAAAAGAAATAGGTTTTGTTTCTTGTCCCCGGAAAATGATATTGAATTACTTTATTATTCTGTACCATCAGAAGATATATACTTTAAGTATTCCATACGATATATGCACATGCACTAAAGGTTGAATTGGATCCACAAAACATCCTCTGAAGAAGATAAATAATATTTCTCCATTCTCTACTGTATGTTGTCCACTTCATCCTTTGGGGTGGAGGTGGGGGTGTGGGGTATCAAAACTGGGACACAATTCTATGACATTTCCTCAAAATAAATAATTGTGAAAGAATGGGAGATAAATATCTTTAGTAATGAGTCAAGTTTTCAACCTCCACACCCCAAATCTTTTTTGGGCATACAGAAATAAGTTTTCAATGTCACACCCCCAATAATTTTTTGGGCATGCAGAAATGAATTTTTAATGCCCACACCCCAATCCTTTTTGGGGCATACAGAAATGAGTCAAGTTTTCAACGCCCACACTACCCAACCACTCCTCATCAGCACACATGTTTATATTGTAGTCATGGCACCACTAACTCCTACCTGACTAACATTTTTCATATACATATTATTTTGCTTGTGATCTACAGCCAACGGGAAATTATGGCCAGTTGGTCCACATTTTAAAAAAAATACATAATAATGGGCAAAATATAGCACTAAAATGTTGGCATTAAAAGAGTAAACAATTTATATTTCATACTTATGTAATCATCGTAAAATTTTGCAAATTTATGATTTTGATTATCAGTTATATTTTCTTGAAATCAAAAACTTTTGTGAATTGTATAACCAAAATGTTGATATGTGCTCAAAATTGTACTATGATGAATAATACTATATCAACACGTATATTGCCTGAAAACACTCTGCACAAGGACAGAAAAAAACACAATAGTGAATTTTATAATACCAACCCACATAATTGTTTTCAAATTTTTTTCAAAAATTTTGAAAAATAAGAAAAATTTGCAAAATTCTGTGCCAAGAAATTTGGCGGGAACAGTTACAACATTCAAATGGCTAATTTAGTAAGTGGGGATTAATGGCAGTCAAAAAGAACCCTGATTTGTACAGTTTGGAATAATATATTGTGATTTTTTGAGGAGACTGAACTGAACAAATATATTTATTTGTATGAAACTAAAAATGTGAATGTTAAATACTGAATACTACCATTCTATCTTCAGGTGTGGTTCGGTAATTTCATCTAACATCTCACACTTCATCATTTTACACAACCTTTCTTTTGAAAAAGCTGATTAAAAATAGACTTCATATGAAAACGTGTTTCAGTATGAGTATTAATGTTTCGTTGTTCAATCTTAAAATATTATATTCACAACCATCCACTGTTATTCTGATAAAAAATTATCAGTAACTTTTTTTATATTTTTTTAAAGTTAAAAAACTCACAATCTTGTTAAATTGGATATGCTTTACTATATCCGTCGTCGCCTTTCCGTAATGAACAGCACATACACATAGAGAAGATCATGCCAAGTAACTGTAAATACAAAAAAAAAAAAATATTAGAAAATTAGAAACCTGGTTTCATACAATAATATTTCAAGTAGTTTTGTTTTCTTTAAATTTGTGTTCAAATCACATAAGAAATTTGTCATTGTCACTGTGACATCATTTTTTTTTATGAATGACTATGACATCATCATCTATGAATGATGTCACTATCCATATGATGATCACTATGAATGACATTCTTACTTTTGAATGATGTCACTAGTTATGAATAACTTTGTCAGTTACAATGATGTCACAATTAGTTTACATGAATAATTATGCAAAAAGTCATTAATGCAAGCAGGAACATAATAAACAGGTAAATTTACGGTTTTATGGTGATGTTTGATATATTTTTGAGAGGAATGCATGATCAAAGTACTCCTTCAAAACATTGTTGAATAATATTGTCAAATTCTGACATGTTTTACAATATTCTATGAATTATGTTATATATTGTTAAATCAATGCAAATGATTCTGAATATTAAACATTTGTCGTAATCACAAGAGCTTACTAAACTTAGAAGTTGCATAACCATAGTATGTAAACAGATCAAATACTTTATTTTAGCTGGAATTGATTTCGCTCAAAAGACTTGTTGGGTGTTTTGCATGGAATTTTTGACAAGTTGAATGTAAAATATATGAAAACAGGTATATTTGCTGGATTTTGTTTTCACTGAATCATTTTACAGTAAATGATTGAAGTGATTTGTTTTATCCCAAACAATTTTATTACTTGTCTTAAGCAAATTCAGCCTTGTTTGCTGCGTTATAATTTGGCCTAAGAGCTGGAAATTGCCTCAGAACACGTTAAAGTAAATGATTAGGGGAGTTGTGCTATTAAAATGTTTGTAGGTTCAGTCAGGCAATGTGTGGACCAAAACATCGCCCACTAATTGAAACCCCGCCCATGGGCAGGGTTCAGAATGGGTGGAGTATCAAACAAATCCGGTAAAATCTGTTTTATATGTTCTAAATTGGAAGTGTGATGATTTATGTAATAGTTATTGTGAGTTTTAATTTGGTCAGTCATCAGCGAGAAATGCAGCACTCTGAATATTACACCACAAAATAAATTTGTCTTGTTCTTTACTTGTGTGTTTGTCGAATGACGTTATGCATTCCTTATAGCCACTTCATTTGTGTAC